AGTCTTGCACAGGTGTACCGGCTCCTCCCCTTCAGTCTTGCACAGGTGTACCGGCTCCTCCCCTTCAGTCTTGCACAGGTGTACCGGCTCCTCACCTTCAGTCTTGCACAGGCGTACCGGCTCCTCCCCTTCAGTCTTGCACAGGTGTACCGGCTCCTCCCCGTCAGTCTTGCACAGGTGTACCGACTCCTCCCCATCAGTCTTCCACAGGTGTACCGGCTCCTCCCCTTCAGTCTTGCACAGGTGTACCGGCTCCTCCCCTTCAGTCTTGCACAGGTGTATCGGCTCCTCCCCTTCAGTCTTGCACAGGTGTATCGGCTCCTCCCCTTCAGTCTTGCACAGGTGTACCGGCTCCTCCCCTTCAGTCTTGCACAGGTGTACCGGCTCCTCCCCGTCAGTCTTGCACAGGTGTACCGACTCCTCCCCATCAGTCTTCCACAGGTGTACCGGCTCCTCCCCTTCAGTCTTGCACAGGTGTACCGGCTCCTCCCCTTCAGTCTTGCACAGGTGTATCGGCTCCTCCCCTTCAGTCTTGCACAGGTGTATCGGCTCCTCCCCTTCAGTCTTGCACAGGTGTACCGACTCCTCACCTTCAGTCTTGTACAGGTGTACTGGCTCCTCCCCTTCAGTCTTGCACAGGTGTACCTGCTCCTCCCCTTCAGTCTTGCACAGGTGTACCGGCTCCTCCCCTTCAGTCTTGCACAGGTGTACCGGCTCCTCCCCTTCAGTCTTGCACAGGTGTACCGGCTCCTCCCCTTCAGTCTTGCACAGGTGTACCAGCTCCTCTCCTGGACTGAACTAATTTACCCTGATTTCACTGCACACTGAGAGCTTCTCACAATATACATTAGAAGCTGCAGCAAGTCAGAAGGAGCTCCGCCTCATTTCCTGGCTGGAGGACGTCTTGCATGATCTAGCCCAGTGGTCTCCAAACTGCGGCCTGGGGGCCAGATAAGGCCCTATGCTTGCCATTATCCGGCCCTTGGGGCACTATTCCTATCTCTGACATTAACAATGGGACATGATTCCTCCTTCTGACACCAATAATAGGGCACTATTCCTCCCACTGACACCAATGATGGGCAATATTCCTCCCACTGACACCAATGATGGGGCACTATTCCTCCCACTGACACCAATGATGGGACACTATTCCTCTCACTGACTCCAATGATGGGGCACTATTCCTCCCACTGATACCAATGATGGGGCACTATTCCTCCCACTGACACCAATGATGGGGCACTATTCCTCCCACTGACACCAATGATGGGGCACTATTCCTCTCACTGACTCCAATGATGGGGCACTATCCTCCCACTGATACCAATGATGGGGCACTATTCCTCCAACTGACACCAATGATGGGGCACTATTCCTTTTACTGACTCCAATGATGGGGCACTATTCCTCCCACTGATACCAATGATGGGGCACTATTCCTCCCACTGACACCAATGATGGGGCAATATTCCTCCCACTGACACCAATGATGGGGAACTATTCCTCCCACTGATACCAATGATGGGGCGCTATTCCTCCCACTGACACCAATGATGGGGCACTATTCCTCCCACTGACACCAATGATGGGACACTATTCCTCCCACTGACACCAATGATGGGGCACTATTCCTCCAACTGACACCAATGATGGGTCAATATTCCTCCAACTGACACCAATGATGGGGCACTATTCCTTTTACTGACTCCATTGATGGGGCACTATTCCTCCCACTGATACCAATGATGGGGCACTATTCCTCCCACTTACACCAATAATGGGACTCTATTCCTCCTTCTGACACCAATAATAGGGCAATATTCCTCCCACTGACACCATTGATAAGGCACTATTCCTCCCACTGACACCAATGATGAAGCACTATTCCTCCAACTGACACCAATGATGGGGTACTATTACTCTCACTGACTCCAATGATGGGGCACTATTCCCCCCACTGACACCAATGATGGGACACTATTCCTCCAACTGACACCAATGATGGGGCACTATTCCTCTCACTGACTCCAATGATGGGGTACTATTCCTCTTACTGACTCCATTGATGGGGCACTATTCCTCCAACTGACACCAATGATGGGGCACTATTCCTCCAACTGACACCAATGATGGGGTACTATTCCTCTTACTGACTCCATTGATGGGGCACTATTCCTCTCACTGACTCCAATGATGGGGCAATATTCCTCCAACTGACACCAATGATGGGGTATTATTCCTCTCACTGACTCCATTGATGGGGCACTATTCCTCCCACTGACACCAATGATGGGCATGATTCCTCTCACTGACACCAATGATGGGGCACTATTCCTCCCACTGATACCAATGATGATGGGGCACTATTCCTCTCATTGACTCCAATGATGGGCATGATTCCTCTCACTGACACAAATGATGGGGCACTATTCCTCCCACTGACACCAATGATGGGGCACTATTCCTCTCACTGACTCCATTGATGGGGCACTATTCCTCTCATTGACTCCAATGATGGGCATGATTCCTCTCACTGACACCAATGATGGGGCACTATTCCTCCCACTGAGACCAATGATGGGGCACTATTCCTCTCATTGACACCAATGATGGTGCATTGTTACAGAGAGGACATTTTCTACTTCCTCTGGCCACAGTCCGGCCTCTCTAAAGTCTGAGGGATAGTAAACTGGCCCTTTGTTTAGAAAGTTTGGAGACCCCTGATCTAGCCCTTTCCTACAAAGCCTGACTGTCCCTGGCCCCACCCCTTTCCTCCCCAGCCAGGCTGTCCTGGCTCCGCCCCTTTCATTAATTGGATTTCATTTTTCTTTCAATTGTACCACTACCCCCTTAGGAGTTGCTGAGTTTTGGGAACCCCTACAGCTCTGCACAGCCAGGCAACACACATTTTCTTTCACATGTTGCATTGAGAGTCAGAAAACAGTCCTTGAGTTTGGTTTTGTGATTTTATTAAGGCGTTGATAACCTGGATGGGGTTGAGGGGTGTATGGGATGCCAAGGGAACTGCGAACTTGAGTACAAACTCCTTAGCAACTCTGTACAGATGTGGACAAAAATAGTCTCTCCTTAAAGAGAAATTCCAGCTCTCTGGTGTACCTCTTCAGACCCCAGATGAATCCTCCTCTACACCCAGCTTCACTGAGGGTAATCCCTGGGCAAGGGGGCCCAGAAACTGCCAATTTAGCACAGTAGCCCCGGATGAGAAGCTAGTTGGGTTTTCCACCTGACTGCCCTCTCCGCTTATGCAAACCAGGTGGTGTGGAATTACTCACACTGTCCTTTCTGATAGCTTAATGGGTTGGTGGCTGCCTCCAGGCCCTTCACTAGGCTGGCTTCTTCCCTGCTGCTCAGGATGTCCTCCCTTGAAGATGGTGGAGATTCTTTTCTCCAGCACCTGCCTATAGGCAGGCCCTTTCCCTGGGTCCCCTCTCAGGCTCCACACTCCAGTCCCTCATTTCATCTTTCATCCGACTCTCTCCCTTCTACCCAGGCTCTGAGATACTTAAGGGTTGCTTTGGTCACCATGTCCAGCCTCCTGCCAGGAGATAGGTCAAGGTCCCTTAACCGTGCAAATCCAAGCTTCCTCCCTGCCTCCATCCCTCCTCCAGAAAGCTCTCAGATTTCTGGAGAGGGCGGAAGGGCTTCACAAGCTCTGACCTTCAGAACCTCCCTAGCCTGTCCTGAGGTGAATTCCTGCCTCACTCACAGGCTGACTCATCCCAGGCTGCTATTCAGCCTCTGACTGAAAAAAAAAAGACCTAGCTAGCCTGGAGGATGTTACACAATCATAGAGGATCAGCATCACATGTGGACATTTCATAGGGTGGTCTGCATGCAAATACAGCCTGCCTAGGAGAACCCACACCTCCACAGCGAAACCCACCCATAAGGACATTTGTATATTTGCAAACTCCTCCCACTGCTTGCATTAGGGCTGATGGCTCTCGAGAGGAGTACTGAGGCAAGGTGGTGAGATATTATCAGAAAGCTATGTACAACACCCTGCCATCCCTTCCCACCAGACTGTACTATATAGAGAAGCACAGAGATCCCAGCACAGTGAATGAGCTGTTACAGAAAGCTCTTGGTCTCTGGTTATGATTGGGAACCAGAGGAACCAATTAAACAGTCAATCATAGTGGTTGCGTGATCTTGAAGCCTGCCCATCCCACCCACTGGGAGGGGGTGGGAAAGCGTGAAGTCAGAATTTTTGTGTCATTTTTTTTTTCTTTAATATGAAAAAAGTCAAATAACATGCAGCCTTAAAACCACCTTACCTTTCTCTCTCCTTTTGACCCCAATGCAAAAAATGGTGGCATTTGTCAAAATGATGTCCACGTGAAAAATGCCACTTTCTCTTATGCTTAGTGACAATAAATAAAGATTCAAAGATTCAACTTTGGGATACCTATAACAGAGGACTACAAGAAAGAATGCCGAAAATAGTGCAAATATCTCCCAACCTTCCGAGATGAGAAAGAGGGACATCTCTTAGCTCAAAAGACACACTCTTGCCACACCCCTTAGTTTCAGACCACAAAGAATTAATATGAAAAAAAATTGGTTAAATCCACTATTACTTTTTTCCTTATATCAGATTTTCTAAATAGCAAATTAAATAATATAAACAGACCCAAAAATAATGGAGGGTCTGATTGGAGTTCAGTGGGCAGGTGGTAGGGAACAGCTGCAGAGGGGCTACTGGAAGTTCACTACAGAAGGTCGATGATGGAAGAAAATTGTCCCACCTGTCCTCCCTGGAAAGGTAGGATGGTTACAAAATAGTGAGCCCACCTGGTGTTACAGATTTCCCCATTGGTTACCATTGTTTTATCGGAGGCTCTGTTCCTTGGGAAGTCAGAAATGGTCAATTCTGTAGATGTCCACGAGCCAGTGTGGATGGGACAAGGGTTGATTTTGGTTAAACCTTTTTGGCTAGTGGACACCAACGACAAGAGCAGCAGGCCTTACTTGATAGGAATTTAATGGTCAGGTGGTATACAAAAAAGATCTGCAGAGGTAGAATCCACTAGGAGGTCATTGCAGAAGGTCAATGAAAGAAGAAAGTTGTCCCACCCGCCCTGCCTCGCTTACTCTTGAGAACACGTTTAGATTTTTATGTGATTGTCACTACAGAATGGCTGGTTAGGGGGTCTTTGGATATCTGTGAAAAGGTAAGAGGGTTACAAAGCGAAGGGCCCACCTGGTGGCATGGTGTTCCCTATTGGTGGCAGTTTTTTTTAACAAGGCTCTGTTCTCAAAGCCAGTGGGGTGCAACTGAGATAGGGGTGATTTTAGTTTAGCTTTTTTGGATAGTGGACACCAAAGGCCCCCTTTTCAGTCATTATGTTGACTGTGGGACAGTCCAGATTATATCCATGGCACTCAAATGTCCCTCATATGGAGACAGTTGACTGTAGAACAGCCCAGATGGTTCTATAGTCATGGCACTCAACTGTCCCTCATATGGGGAGTTGACTGTTGGACAGTCGAGATTTATATTCGTGGAACTAAATGATCCCTCATATAGAGACAGATTACTGTTGGACAGCCTAGATGGTTCTATAACCATGGCACTCAACTGTCCCTCATATAGGAAGAGTTGACTAATGGACAGTCAAGATTTATATCCATAGCACTCAACGGTTCCTCATACGTATGCAGACAGTTCACTGTTGTACAGCCAAGATGGCTCTTTAGTAATGGCATTCTACTACCGCTCATATAGAGATATCTGACTG